TTTTAGATTCATTTATGTATTTTTAAGAAACATTGGTGTGTTAATAATGCTAAGATTTCTCTGTAAAAATTATTCTTTAATTTTTAAATTTTTGAAATAATGTGATTCTTTATGTTTTTGTGAATTTAAAATTCTCAAAATGTTTAATTTTAAGATCCTTAGAATTCTCTAAATTCTTAGATTACTGGACGTTTTGAGAACTTGAAAATCTCAGATTGTTGAAGAAATACGTGAATTCTTGGATTTCTCGTTATTTTTCAGAATTTTTTTGAATTCACTGTTTGTAACCCAAAAAAATTTGGACTGTTGCGATGGTAAAAATTAGCAAATTTTAAGAAATTTCCTCCATGACCGAAACTTCATTTTATTAACTTATTTGCCAAAACTCGGCAATTTTGGGGTTTTTATCACCATGTCATGAAATTTTTAAATTTCGTTTTATTTTGACTTATTTAGAAAATTTCCATCTTTCCCTAAAACGCCAATAAGAAAACTTATTTATTTCATTAGGACAATCTTTCTTTATCTTTGATTGTCTAAATATAAAAAAATATTGTTGAAATCGGTTATTGTGGAAATTTTTTTTTGAAAGTTTGTGTGGGATATTTTTCCAACGTAACACTTCCTCACTACTTACGTGACAAATAATTGAGATATTAAACCTTTAATTTTTAAATCTTTAAGATGGATTTTTATGTAAGTGGTTAGAATTATTAAAATTTCTTGAATTTGCCCAAATTCCTTCAATTGAATTCAAAAATTCATTCTTTCAAAAAACTGTGACATTTTCAGCGTTCCCCAGTGTATTTTCTATCAATTTCCATAAACCTGAAGGTGAGTTTAGTGCATCACTAGATGAAAAACCGGTTTCAAACATTGAGAAACACGAATTTTTCGAATCAAAGTCAAACATTCTAGAAAATATCAACAAACTGTTCGTTGGTAAAAGCAAACACAGTCCGTGTGAGAATTTCCGGACAATACTTTCATTTGTTATTCGTGACTTAAATAATATACTTAAGCTTTCATAAAAACACCGTTTTTGCATGGAACTTTACATCTCTTATGAAATAATCCCCGGGAAACTGACGCAACAAAATCGAAAAAAAAAATCGAAAAATCGGTTATAACCTTTGAATTTGTGGTGTCACAAATTGCAAAACTAGCATTTGAAGAAGCTCAAACTCAACAAAAAACGCCTCCCATTCAGGTCATCGCATTTTCGCGTCTCAGGGGGGGAGGAGGAGAGATGGAGTGTCTTATATAAATGGAGAAACTGGAATCTGTGTTCATCGTGCATTTGTGAGTGAAAGTCGTGTTTTCGCCATGAAGATAGTGATTTTCTTGGCTTTGGCGGCCGTTTGCGGGGCTTTGCCCCAAAAAGAGGGCGGGGCGTACACCAACGAGGCCATCAGACAGGCCCAAAACACCTTCCTCATCCCCAAAGACGCCCAAATCCAGAAAGTGAGGCTCTGTGTTTTTTTGGCTTTTTTTGCAATTTTTTTTAGGTGCAAGAGGGGATCGAAATCGGGGCCTATGAGGGGATCCCCGGGAACCAGAGGATCAACCTGTTCGAGATTTTGGGCGACCAGTTTCCGACGGAAGTTGTGAATAATTTGCAGCAGCAAATCGATCAAGTTGGACGCAATTAATTTTTTTTTTCGCTTCTAGTCTTTTTTTTTCACTTCTCTTTTTTGCACCCCTCACAAAAATAAAAACTGATATTCTTCCACGTAAAGTGCCAATTCTGTGCTAGGTACGACGATTTGTATATAGTTTTTTTTTAATAAAACTTATTTTTTGTAAAGTTGGGTTTGATTGGGTGACCTCGGGAAGGTGAAAGTTTTTGATGTTTTGTGGCCTTGGCCCGAGACGGGACTTTCTCTTCTATACAAAATTTCGTGATGAGAAATAAAACCAATACTTTCATTGTTAATTGATTGGGAAAATAATTGCTTCATCTAATTATTTGGCACATAAGTGAAGAAATTTATTCCACACACGAACTTTCGAAAAATTATCATTTCCACAATCGATTCAATTTTTTCAGTTTTAGACGATCAAGGATAAAGAAAGTTTGTTGTAACCAAACAAACAAGTTTTCCTGTTGTGGAAATTAGAAATTTTCCAAATAAGTCGAAATAAATCGAAATTAAAAAAAAATATAACAAGGTGATAAAAGCCCCAAAATAGCCGAGTTTTGGTTTGTACAAATAGTCCAAAATTTGTACAAAGTTACAAAACACTAAATTGAAAAAATTTTCATAAATTGCAAGAATTCAAGACTTCAGGTATTTTAAAAATCAAAGAATATTGAAAATCTGAGAATTCGAAGTTCTCAATCAAAAAATTAAAAGAATTCTAAAGATCTAAGAATCACTGTTTCTAAATTTGAAAATTTGAGAATTCTAGTTTCACAAAAATACAGAGATTCAAATGTTGCAAAAATTAAAAAAATTGAACAAACTACAATTAAAAAACTACTAAGTTACACAAACTCAAAAAGAAAAATCCACAATCGATTCAAACTTTTTTTTTGATATTTAAACAATCAAATAAGTAAATAAAAGTTAAATAAGTTCTCTTGTTGTGGAAATTTTGCAGTTTCAGGAACAAATGGAAATTTTCTAAATAAGTCGAAATAAATCAAAATTAAAAAAAAAGTGATAAAAATCCCAAAATCGCAGTTTTGGGAAATAAGTTAATAAAATGAAGTTTTGGTCATTGCACAAATGAGGAAATTTTTACCATTCCGAAAGTCCAAAATTTTTTTGGGTTAAAAACAATGAATTCGTAAAATTTTGAAAACTAAGAAGTGATCCAAGAATTTACGTACTTCAAAAATATGAGAAATTCAAGTTCTCAAAACATTCAGTAATCTAATAAATCAAAAAATTCTAAGGATCTAAGAATTCACTGTTTCTAAA